TCTTCGCTCACCAATATCTGCGAAGGGGACTTTGCACGGCAACTTGACATCTTTAAAGAAGAACAAGCCAAGTCAGGGACACCAGCTAGGGGACGTCAAGCATTGCTCATGATTCATAAACACTTCAGTACAAGTAGGAAGCATGGTGCAGTGTATGACATTGAGGACCTCATGGCGGTTACCTTAGTCAATGATGATCTCAGAGGTTTCATCACTCGATGGGACGCTGTGATCGCTGGAATGACTTCCGAGCCTGACATGATGTGGAAGCAAGCCTACTTTCACAACGCCATCAAGAACTTCAAGCCTCTCTCTCATGATCTGGCTGTGTATGATCGCACACCGGAGGGGGAACCCAACCGCTCTTATGATTTTCTCATGAAAGCTGCAAGGGACTACCTTGAGAGAAGACGTCTTGAGAAGATGCGCCAGGCCACCAAGAAGTCCGTTTCAGGCAAAAGAGATGCAACGCCAGCACCCACGAGGCCGCCATCCGCGGGAAAGCCCACTGGCATTTGCTACGACTTCCAGGCTGGCAAGTGTACCAGGGGAAAGGATTGCCGATATAAACATGAAAAGGCAGACAAAGGAAAAGGCGGAGGTAAGAAAGGCAAGTCTAGGTCCAAGTCAAGGGGCAATGATCGGTCTTTGTCTCCAGGATCTAGAAACCAAGTGTGTAAGTTTTGGAAGGCAGGTAAATGTCAACGAGGTAATGACTGTGCTTTCCAACACCCACCGAAGCCTGCAGCAAGTCTAGGGGCGATGGTCGATCTTTGTCTCCTGGATCTAGGAACCAAGTGTGTAAGTTTTGGAAGGCAGGTAAGTGTCAACGAGGTAATGACTGTGCTTTCCAACACCCACCGAAGCCTGCAGCTGCATCTACCAAAGATGACAAGCGTGGAAAGAGCCAGAAAAAGAAGAAGAGAAATAAGAAGAAGAAGGGCGATCGCTCCAGATCGTCAAGTCGAGGTTCCAACTCCTCGAGAGGCTCTCAGAGTCTCAAGGACAAAGGGGGAAAACCATCTTCCTCTGGCTCAGCTGCAGTTTGCCTGATGCGCGCTCTGATGATGGTCGCAGTCGTCAACCCTTCGACCAGCACTCATCGCGTGCCGGAAGGCATCGCCTCTCCGCATTGTTTCAACCAGCATTTTGCCATGCCAGTTACACCCAATCGCACTGTTTCATTTGGGGGCAACGATGAAATTTTCGAAGTTCCCATTGAGCAAAATTGTAATTTGCATCCGTGCCAAGCCAAGCAACGAACTTTCAATCCAGTTCGCATCACCAAGGACGATCGTACTCGTAAAGATACGATCGAAGCAAGAGAAAGTGATGCAATACTTGCAGCACAGATGTTGCAATCAGCTGTCTTTCGGGAGTTGCATGGTAAACTTTGCAAATGCAGCTTTGAATGTGACAGTGATATCGGCTGTCGCCACTGCATCCGTTCTGATTTGAATGCATTGCCAGGACACATGCCTTCTCAGCAGCGTAATGCATCCGCTGAAATCGCATGGATCGCTGACACCGGTAGTGCTCAGGACTTAGTTTGCAGCAAGATGATTCCCGATGACATTGTGTATCACTCTCATGAACCCCTTGAATTAATCACTGCAAATGGTTCTCAATCTGCTGACCAACAAGCTTCTGTTCATATTGATTGCATCGACAAAGAAGTTCATCCATATGTTCTTCCTGATACCCCGGCTGTAATATCGGTAGGGATGAGATGTATTCAAGACGGATGGGATTTTGTTTGGAAAAGCTTTAGTCGCCCATATTTCAAGAAGAAAGATGGAACTAAGATCAAACTTGAAGTCAAAGATTTTGTTCCTTATTTACCATCAAGAGATGGCCAGGTACCCGCTGCAGTAGGGATTCCGTTTTCATGGGACTCCGCTGCCGGGAACGGCAAGCCTATCATCTCTCCTGTTCGAAGGTCTCGCATGTCAGCTGTCGGCACTGAGTCTGAGGACGAAGTCGAAGAGGTCGAAGAACCTTATGAGGCTTCCATCGCAGACGACGATGAAATCCCTGGACGGGGTGACGATAGTCTCGAGGAGTTCTTCCCTGGTGAACTTGCGCCAGGACCTCCAGCAGCCATGACACCCGAAGGTGACGTGGGTTCGGAAGATGAAGCCGAAGCTCCTGAAGAACCAGTTGACGGTCGACTTCAACTGCCTGAACCTCAACCAATTGATCGTGGTGAAGCTGCACTTCGAGAAGAGGCCAGGACCCTTAGGCACATGATGACACATACCCCAAAGAATCCTTTTTGTGAAACATGCAAGTGTGCAAAGATGTACAAACCAACCAAACGTAGCAAAGGGGAATCTTTGACTGTGGAATCCAATAAGTTTGGGGATCACATCACTGGGGATCATCTTGTGACTAGGGATGCCAACGAACAATCAATTGATGGTGATAGGGTTGCGATGGTCATGAAAGATGTCGCTACGAATTTTCGTTGGATCTATCCTTCAGCTAGAAGTCATGCCAAGGATTGTGTTTTAGCTTTTAGGCATTTCATTGCACCTGGTGAAGAAGTCGGAGTGTTCTATTCCGATGCAGCGCCATCCATCAAGCTCGCTTGTCGGGAAGTTGGGTGGAGGCAGAACACTAGTGTTGCTTATGTCTCTAAGTCGAACGCAGTCGCCGAGAGGAATCTCAGGTCCGTGCTTGAAGGGACTAGAGTAAACCTTGAACAGGCAGGGCTTCACCATTCCTATTGGAGTTATGCTGCACGACATTGGTGTATGGCACACAACATCCAGGACCACCCTGAAATCTTATCTCCCTGGGAGCTCCGTTTTGGGGAAAAGTTCAAGGGACCCAACATTCCTTTTGGGGCTCGCATTGACTATTGGACTGGACCGAAACTTAAACCCAAGAAAGATTTGCGTTTTGACCCAACTTCAAATCCAGGTGTCTTTTTGGGATATGCCATGCAACCAGGTTTCGTTTGGAGAAATGAGTTTCTTGTAGCATCTTTGAAGGACCTCATGGAAAAGGAATTCAACGAATCTGTCCAAGTTGTTCGTGTCAATCAACTCACTGTACCTGATGGACCCTTTGTTTTCCCTTTGAAAGGAAGGTATAAGGCCATTAGGGAAGGTTTATACGATTCTCTTAGCCTTGAAGCTCCACCAGATCCAAAGAAGATGGACGCTCAAACAATTGAAGACTTGGTTGCCCCAAGGAAAGCTGTTGAGCCAGGACCGGTGGAGGGCGAAGAGGAGTTTGAGCAATTGATGCGTGAAGTTGGACTTGAATCCGATGACATCGAAGTGATTGACCCCAAAACTGGAAAGTCAGAATTTATCTCAAAGGATGACCCTTCATACTACGATGCTAGTGGTTTTAAGGGTAGAAGATATAAAGGTTCCTCCAAGCCCAAGGACATTCCAACATTTCTTTGGCGGGGGGCCTCTAAAGCGGCTAGAGAAAGGGCCAAGCGTGAAGCCTTGTTGAAAGAGGCAGCTGAAAAGCATGATGCTGCAGTTGCCAAAGAACGTAAGTACAACAGGGTCATAGAACGTTTTGCCAATTCAGCTGTCAAAGAATCCAAGAGTGACGAACCATCAGAAGATTTCATTCCCGCAATGCCAGTCACCTATAGTCCGGGGGGCTCGCATGGTGGAAACCATTGCCACAGAGATAAGCTTAAGGATCAGTCAGAGCTCATGTGCTTTCATTTTTCCAATGCACTCGTGGCAAGACCCGTTGGACAGAAGGAGATCAACAACACTCCGGCTGCCCAAGCTGCACTCGATAAGGAATGGAATAACCTTACTAGTAAGGGTGCTTGGGATTATTCCACTGTTAGGGAATGGGATGACGTTTCAAGGGAAGCTATCAAGAACAAGACCAAAGTTCATGTAGGCAAAATCTTCGAGATTTGTGTCGAGAAGGGAAGTGAGCTACCGCAGGGTGACCCCATGCGCAAGTTTAAGGGTCGCACCGTTTTCCAAGGAAACAACGTGAAGGACGAGGCGGCTGATGTTGCTTTGTTCGCGGAGCTCGGAAGTTCACCGGCCAATATGGAGGCAGGAAAAGCATTGGATGCTTATGGCTCCATGCCGGGGAACCGGACATCACAAGGTGATGGTAAGCAAGCTTACACCCAGGCGTTGATGCAAGGAATTTTAACTTGGATCAGATTGCCAAGGAACCGATGGCCGAAGGAATGGATTGGTGTATTTAAGGATCCAGTTGTTCTTCTTATTTTGGCATTGTATGGTCACCCTGATTCGGGGGGTCTATGGCAACGTCACTGTGAGAAAGCCCTTTATGCAGTTGGATTTCACCCACTCTACCCTGAATGTTGGCCTTCAATGTTTTGGCATCCGAAATTGAAGTTATTGCTTGGTGTATATGTTGATGACTTCAAGATGTCAGGACCTTCCAAAAACATCGACGAAGGGTGGAAGTTGATTTCTTCTCAGATTGACATGGATACCCCAGAAGATGCCGGCAGATACCTTGGATGTGAACATGTGTTCAAACAGAACGTCAAACTTGATGTAAGTGCTCATCCATTTGCTCATGTCTTCGATGCTAGCATCCCAGATCCTTCCAGTAAGCCAGCCAGCCCGGCCCGCCGAACAAAGGACTACTGGGAGCATATGCCAGAACTTGGAGTTTGTGTTCATCATCACCTGCAACCTCGCAAGAAGTTCCAGGACAAGCCGAAGGACAATACATCCTTCCGGGCGGGAACGCGCCGGCTAACCGTGTGTGAACCTTTCCAAACCCAAGATGAACCCAAAGAATATGTTCATGATATGGGATCTCAAAACCCAACTGGACTTCCATTTTGGTGGACGGGATCAACCTACTTCGTGGACGAATCCATCAAAGAACCCTCAAAAGTTTTGGCAGCTGCTAAGAAGATAAGAGACAAGTCAGGAGCAAAGAAAGCGGCTAGGGCACAAGGATTTACTTTTCTTGATGAACTTGAGCAACATAAATCCAAGTGCATGACAAAGAATGTCAACACAGTCGAATATGACATGCGACAATTCTTACAACAATGTCTTGACCGCTATGTTGAACTAGCAGGACCAAACATTAAGTTCAAGAAAGTTTCAACTCCTTTCCCAGATGACAAAATTGCACGTCCCATCATGGACGAAGCAGAAGCTCGGGGGGAACTCCAGCCCATAGCATCACGTGTGCTAATGAAAGTGCTGTTCGCAGCACGAATGGCTAGGTTCGATCTTCTCCGTGCTACTCAGGGTTTAGCAAGTAGGGTTACAAAATGGTCACCTGATTGCGACAAGAGTCTTCACCGATTAATGTGTTACATACACACAACCCTTGATCGTAGAATGGTTGGTTTCGTTGGGGATCCACCTGAGGCTTGCAAAACATGGTTGTTTGCAGATTCAGATCATGCTGGGGAACATGACAACAGATCTACAAGTGGTTGCCTCCTCGCTTTGGTAGGACCAAACACGTTTTACCCACTCACAGCTTTTTCAAAGAAGCAGACTTCGACGGCTATGTCATCGACAGAGGCTGAAGTCACGGCGGCAAACCTTGCGTTGCGTGCTGTTGGGTTGCCTTCCTCCTGCCTGTGGTCAGTCATACGTCACGCGGGGGGAGATAGCACTCAACAAAAGCCGTCCCGCAGAGTGGAAACTCGTGCCAAAAACCCCAAAGAGGATTATTGGGAGCACAGTCCATTCACCAACCAAGTTACCAGAGTTCATGTCAAACCCCGAAATAAACTGTATAACCCAATTGATTCGGATTGTCCAGTGAACCTTCAGGGATTGGCAAGGCAAAGGTACACCATCATGAAAACCAAAACTGGTGATGTTGAATTTGATTTGACATGGGACTGGACGACTCCTGATGCTGACATGATCTATGATTTCGAATGGACTGGGAAAACTGTCTTTAGGATTCCTGGACCAAATGAAGTTGATTATGGGGTTGAGTCACGGGAAATCAGATCTGCATTAACTGATTTTAACTATATTGGATCTGAAAAGCGGGGGGATGAGAGTGTGTACATGGCAGGACCCGGTAGTCTTGAGGTCATATTCCTTGAGGACAACCAAGCGACCATTCGTATTCTTGAGAGTGGTAGGTCACCGTCATTTAGGCACACCGACAAAACACAAAGATTGAATTTGTCATGGTTGTCTGAACAGTTCAAACGAAAACATTTCAGACTTGTCTATGTTGGTTCATCGCTTCAAGCGGCAGACATCCTCACCAAGCCTTTTACCAACTCCGAGAAATGGGAATCAGCTCTGCGATTGATGGGTATTTCATCACAGCCCCTTCCACGGAAGGAGCCACAAAAGATGAAAGCCTGCGCAGGGGAACCTGCACCTTCAACAGTGTCGGGATCTCAGCAACGCGCAGGGGAACCTGCTTGCCCTTCAGTGGCGTCTCATAGCAGGGTACTTATTGAATTTTGTTGTGGACCTGATTCAAAGCTTGGTGATCGTTCAAGGAAGCATTCAAAAGATTGTTATGTCGTCAGATGCACAGAAGAAAGAGATGTTACATCTAGGTCGAACAGAATGGACATTCGGAATGAAGTTGTTCGAGCAATTGAGAGTTCAACTGTTCAACCTTGTCCCGTTTTGATTTGGATTAGCATTCCATGCACTGGTGGCACAACATGGTCATATGTGAACTTGCAACATGAATCAGCCAAACTCAAAGTTGAATATCATCGACATGTTTTTGAAAAGATATGGTCACCAATGGTCGATTTTATCAATCTTGTTCGTCATTTGAGTCCCAAGATTGCAATTGAATGGCCAGCTCATTGCATCTACTGGAAGTTTGACCGAGTTGAGAAGTTTTGTGGAAAACATCAGCTCATTAGAGTCACATTTGATGGATGCATGGTTGGTATTGTCAACAAAGAAGGTGAATCTATAAAGAAACCATGGGCTATTTTAACCGATTGTGATTCAATTGTCACTGCATTTGATGGACTGTCATGTGATGGTAGTCATAACCATGTTCAAGGCAGAGGTCATGACTTGAAGGAAACTGAGTCGTATTCCTTTCAGATGACGGACATGATCCATCGAGCTTTCATTGCAGCGACCAGCTCAAAACCCGAACTGACGACTTCTACTGCACTCTGCGCTGTTTCGCTTTCTACATCATCTACCATGGCTTACTTCCGTCGCTTTCCACAAGCAGAGGTCGAGGAGGCAGACTATTCCGCTGCTGCGGATGCTGCTGGCATTCGACCCGGGGAACCGGAGTCCACTGAAGATGATGCGACTTTGGGGCCCAATGGAAAGGCGTGGTATGCGTTGACTGGGAGCATTTTTGGCTCTGTCACGCAGTGTCGTGTGGTAAACGAAGCTGATGTGATTTCGGATTTGACATCCATCATGGGGAACACTGACCACTCGCTGTTGGCCAAAGGCTACCTCCGCGACGTCAGCCCCGAAGACGCGAAGCTCCTCGACGGCGTTTCCAGCTTCTCACTCAGAGGCATGGTATGCCCAGGGGAACCTGAGGCCAACTTCATCTTTGCCGGAGATTCTTCGATGGCACTTGTGGATATGGTCGACGGGTTCGCTTCTACGCGCAGGAACATCGGCGAGTACATCAAGGAGAAGCCGGACCTCCTCCCACCAGGCCGCAAGACGGTCTGGCACGATCTCAAATGGGGTCGTGGGCTGCCTGACATCATCAAGGGCGTCGAGCACTCTCTTGCATGTTTGCAGCGGAGGGGAACCTCTCGCCCATCTGTCATTGTCATCTCTTATGCTGGCAACGACATTTTTGGGAACTACGGCTTCCTCCACTGTGATTGGCTTGACAAGGAGATGGCATGCTATTCCCAGAAGCGCCGTGACGCAGCAAACGATCTCATGGAAGAGAGGGTCAACACCCATTTCTCCGCCTTGAACGACCTCGTGAAGCTGACGACACGTGCCGACGTTGGGAACATCGTCCTTATCATGCCGTGGTACGGCAGGGGATATGGATTGCACCCCGACTATGACCGTCAAATGATTCGCGAAGCTGAGGCTTTGAGGAAGCGCGGACTCTGCGTCCTCGATGCCACGTCGCTTATCAAATGTACCACACGATATGACGGCCAGCACATGGAGAATTCGGAGCATAACCGCCTCCAGTGCATTCGCTTCTATTCTGAAGCCGGCGCGCTCGGATATCATCTTTTCCGGCTTCGATCATGCAAGCCATTGATCGAGCTGGCTGAGATGAAGAAGCGCCGCGAGGAATCGCTGGCCAACCCCCTTCCTGAAAACAACCCCGAATGGGAAGAGATGGAAGAAGTGTTGGTTTCCATGGACGTGGACGGTTGGGAGATCTATGTGAAGGAGACCCGACCCAAAGGGCAAAGGCTTCCCAATGAAGTTGACCCCGCACGTGCACAAGTCGCACAGGCTCCTACGGTGCAGGATGATGCCACTGTGGCCTCATCGAACTGGCAGCTTTTGGAGTCAGTGGATGCTGCACTGCCGGGGGAACCCGAGCACTTTGAACCTCATGAGATCAAAGAGCCGGAGATGGATGGTGAGCTCATTGACGCCATCCTCAAGCCCTTCTTGGATCGGTTGCCAGGTGTTTCCGACGAGCGCGACATTGACGAGCCGGACGCTGACGAGGAGATTGTCTTCAGAGAACCCATTGTCGGCGGCTCAGCATCAATGTTTAGCCAGCGGAAGCTGCGCTCCCATCTGATGAACAAGATCCATGCTGTGGACTTCAGATTGGATGGTTCTGGCGTAGTGAACATCTTGGACACCGACGTCACACGTGACCCTGCCAAGCTCGAACTTCGGCAGGAATCCATGCAGCAGACCGAAGATGGTGCAGTCATCATTCGTCGCTTTGACCTGACGGATGAGGAGAAGCATCGTCAGATGGAACGGGAGATCTTTGAGGAGCCCAAGACCGCCGAGGAGAAACTTCGCGCGGGTGACCCTGCTGCCACTGTCCAGATCATGTCGAAGGCCAAGTCGAAGGCGGCTTCCTCATCCGAAGCGGCATCATCTTCGACCGGCATCGCACAGGTGATCGGGGACACTGTCAGTCAATTCATCAAACCCAAGATGAGGGATCAGGCCACGATGATTCAGCCAAAGCCTGTCCCGAAGATCCCAAAGATCTCGACGGCGACGGGAACGTCTCCCATGGCGTCCCCAAAGCCCAGTCCGCCGCCAACTCCGAAGAGTGCAATTGGATCTCCCAAGCCGGAGCCACCAGCACTCCCAGCGGAAGCTGCGGACCATCCTATGCCCAAAGCTTTGCCTTTCAAGGCACCGCCTGCATCGTTGACAACCACCTCACCGAGGGCACCTCCGCAGAAGTCATCGGCGCCTGCAGCTGCGTCTTCGTCGGAGCCTGCCCCGAAGATGGCCAAGAAGGAGCCGCCTATGGCAAGTGCTCCTCCCCCGGGAACGGGTGGACCTCAGCCTCCGGCTGAACCGCCCTTGCGACCACAGGGATATCCCAAGTGGTATTTCTACTCCCCGGGAACGGGCGAGCGCAGGGAATTCACCGTTCGGTGTCCTGACCTGCCAGGCCTGAGGGACCTTGGAAGACTCAGTTATGATGATTTCAAATTTTCGAAGAGGGTGACCGGGCTTCTCCGTGGGTATGATCACAAATTCCTCGAGGCGCATCATCGCCATATTCCTCCTGAATTTGATGAGGAGCTGTACTTGAACTTTGAGTCCATGTACACGTACCTCCGAAAGCGGCATCGTGCTCAGCTTTCGCGACAGGACTTGTACCTGATTCTTCGAAGTCAGGACAGGTTCATGTGCCGCATTCAGGCTGGAATTGTCGGGGAACTGACAACCATGGACATGCCCTACCGCATCACCCACGTGAAGGCCTGCCAAGGCCATGACCAGTCGCTCATTGACAAGGTGGGAACGGCTCCATTAGTCAAGCAAATCATCTCGCTTGACTACCAGTTCACGGTCGAGGACTTGAAGAAGGGATTTTACCCCAGGGTTCCCATTTATCCTCACCTGGCGGAAGCCGAGGTCCCAGAAGAGTTTAAGGTTATTTACCATTACACTTCATGGGACTCCCTCCAGCAGATCATTTGCACGGGGATTTTTCCAGGGGCCACTTCATGCAAGGGTCATGCTTATATGACCCGCCATGCGCCTTGGGAAATCGAAGGCAAGGATCCAGGCGTCAGAACGAACAGACCGCTGTGCATCGCGATCGACACCGATTGTGCTTTGCACTATGGTCTTCGCCTGGTGGAAACCTTGGCCGGTGCACTCATCACTGAGGACTGGGTGCCCAATCATTGCCTCATCTACGCATTCGATTGCGAGAAGTCGCAATACCTTTGGGCGAACCATGGCTACAACGGTGTGAAGAAGTACCTTCGGGACAAGGCCTCCGAGAACGCTCTCACTTGGCAGGAGAACGAGGCTCGGAAGGGCACTCCCAACTACGACGAACTTGAAAGGTACGAGATTTCGGACCTGGAGGTGTTGAAGAACATGTTCGTGAATGAGTACGATCAGTGGAAGGATGTCATCACCCTGCGACGTCCGCTCATTTACAAGGAAGTTCCGACACCATACCCTGTCGTCGATGAGTTGCTCCCGAAGTTCAAGCAAAGGCCGCTCAACTTCACCAATCTCCTTTGTGTGGCACGCAAGCCGACGGCAACTGCTGCTGGCTTCGACATCGCCCCTGACAACGCGCGGGAACGCCGTTCTGATCGCTTCGATCAGGAGGCATTTGACCCTTCCGCGGAGGGGAACCTCACGCGCTGGCGGTATGTCTCAATGTTGGCTATGCCAGAATTGACATGCCCCCGGTGCAGGAAGATCTTTCCTGAGGGGATGTTGGTGTGCCTCGCATGCGGCCTGTCGCTGGCGACTATGTCCGACATGCGCCGTGCGTGCCAGGTGTTTCGCTTGGAAGAGTTGGCGGAGAAGCTGGGCTTCGAGCTGACGTTGGACCTTCTTGGCGACGACGACGTAGCAGGCACCACCCAAGGTGCCAAGCAGATCAGATCTGCTGCGGCAGTCCTCAAAAATCACGCCCGTTCATATATGAAACAGGCGAGAAAAGCTGGACTGACCTTGCTACAGCGTCTGGGAACGGACGCCCATTACGCCTTTAATTGTGCGGTCCAGGACCTTACACCTCGGTGTATGCATTGGATTACAGTTTTGGGCAATGTGGTGCTTCCCTCCATCAAGCGCACGCGAGAGGAGATCCGAACTGGAAAGATTCGGCAGTACAAAGCGCGTATGTGCATGGTCGCATACGAGGAGGAACAGATGAAGACGATCATTGTGGATGATCATGTCCTCATCTGGTACAAGAACCGCTTTTACAGAGCCAACCAGTTCGCGGCCGCCTATGCCTTGATTCCGGTGGCCGAGCGTTTCGAGGTCTTGAGCGTCGCCAACACGACGTTCCAATCCCTTGCGTTGTCCAAGCAGGATGTGTATGCCGACATTCTCAGCTATGTCGACGACATCTTGCGCCCCCTCACGGAGGCAAAGGACACGGAAGGCGGAAGCCGACCCCTGCCTGCAACGAAGCAGCAGAACCCAGATGTTACCAGGTCCTCGCGTCCTGGCTATGGTTCTCATCAGGGGCCCACTCATGGCTACAGTCAGCAGGAATGGAATGACTACTACAATCAGTGGACTGACCAGGAGTGGGAAGATTGGCGCCGTCGAAACCAAGGCCACCAATATCGGGATCGACGTTGGTCGGGCTATCGCTGAGGCACCGCGGAGGGGAACCTCTCGCCTGGTGGATTTATCTTCATCTGAGGCGGGACATTTTCCTCTCAATGCACGGTGTCGCACAGCGGAAGCTGTTGCCTTTTCGGATTTAATTCGGTTAGGCGACTAGCTTCATTTTGCACAGGTGGGTGAGCGATTCCACCATCATTTCCAACATAAGTGTGCTAAGTCGGAATTTTTGCCAATCTAGTCAAGTTCACAAAAGTTTCATTAATGCTTTGAATGCATATCATTTGAAGCAGGCATTTGGCACTCATCTTATTCTTGCCATGATTCCTTCTTGCATAGCACACGGCTGGTAGTTGCATGAACCGCAGAGCGGAAGCTCTTGCCTTGCGAAGTTAAGGCATCTTTGAAGCATTTCTGAAAGCTTCCCTGCGGGTTCACATCAAAATTGAATTCAGCTCTTGCCATAATTCAAATCGCTTTGCTTTGGCAAGCTCCTGGGCGACCACAAGAACTTTTGTTGCCGCGTGGAAACGCTGGCCTAGTATTGGGCCAAGACCTTTTCTTTCCACCTTGCATGTTCGACCACAAGCCCAGTCGAGCCTAAAATGAAGCTGAATGCATACGACCGAATTGATGTTCATTGCATCCGTTGATCGCTGTACTTGATGTCGGGTCGACTGAAATGCATTGTCACGCTTGATCCATGTTGCATCTTGCGTACTCTGAGGTGTGGAAAGGAAATGCTACGAAGAAGGTTAGGCGATGGTCCGAGGGTTTATTCTTTGAGTTGTTCTGTTGTTTCGTAAAAGGCATCCCTTAACTCGGTAGTCTACCTATTAATTTGCAGCTTCACCCCATGTATAGGCCTACGCTGCACGGGGGGTGTTGTTGCACAGTAGCATGCCATGTATATACCTTTTCACTCCTCATACTCCGTACACTATGGCTCAAGAAATAGTGCGTGTGCTGTAGCTGTATTTTGTGGTACGTTGTGGTTTGTACCCTGTTTCTACATTATATATATATATATGTATGCACTGGTGATATCATCACCAAAAATGGACATCTAAAATCTTGCCATGGAACATTGCCATGGGAATCAATTGGCTGAACCACCCGCTAAAAAAGTAGTAGAGCATAGTTCCTGACTACTCTAAGCTAAACAAACGAGGATGTGGAAGCAAGTTTTTTTTTCGAGGATGGCTTGACTGGTTGGTTGATGATTGTAGAGGGATGAAAAACACTATCTACCCTCTGGTAAAGTAACATAACTATGGAAAATCACCATTTTTAATGGGTAAATAAACTATACATTTTTAATAGCTATGTTTGTTTACCAGAGGGTATATTCAGGGGATTTCTTCAGTACATATCAAAATAAAGCTGAATCAGAATCCATGTTCACTGGGAATCCAAAGCATTTTCCATCCAAAATATCACCAAGCATTCGAGGTTCAAGACACCATGCAGTCCTGGTTCCTCTATGGTGGCATGCTCTTCGTGCCCCTCACGGTGTCGCTGGGCTACCTCCAACTTGTGGCCATTTTAAATGGGAAGTTCTGAAGGGAAAATGATGATAAACTAATGTTGGTAAAAACAATACCATAAACCATCCCCCAGTCATCACCATATTTTTATAGGTGGTTTGGAAGCCATTTCCAGTCATGGGTGGTTTATGACATAGTTTTAACATGTTTTAACCACATTAGGGGATTTGAGGCTATTTTCAGAGAAAGCCTTAAATTGTGATTTGTTTTCCACTTGATCGCCAGTGACCAAGCTCTTTGGGTAGGGCTTGGGTGGACATGTTGATGGCTCACCCTGTTTCGGCGGATGACTGAGGTGTCAAGAATGAAACCAGAAATCACCTTGAGGTTTCAAAATGTAAAAAAATGTATTTGATGAAAAAGGCTGCGAAATGTTCATGTTATGTTTCAAAAGAAATTATATAGATCAACCACAGTCAACAACCACAGAATAACTATCGGCACATCTTCCAGCCATAGCTGCCATTTCTCAGGCTCCCAACTAGGATGCAAAGCCAATACGAAGCATTAGGAGCGGCCCCATGTCTCTTCCCTTTGCTTGGCGTCTCACTGACTGATTGCATAGGCGTTAATGCCAAAGTGCAAAAATGCGAACCACACCTTTGTTGCTTAATATTAAACCTTTGTTGCTTAATATTAACTGGTTGGTGGTTTGGAACATTTTTTATTTTCCATAATATTTCCATAATATATGGGATGTCATCCTTCCCATTGACGAACTCCATCATTTTTCAAGATGGGCACATTGCACCACCAACCAGTTAAGCATTTCGAATGGGCTTCCCACTTGTTTGGATCATCTATGATCGTCTCAGTGAAGAGATTCGAGGAATCCCAGGGTCACCATGCAGCCGCAACTCCTCCACGCTGAGCCGCTGAGGTCGTACCTGCAAGAGTGGGGTTCTCCGGCCTCTGACCGGGCTGGGCGGGGGAAACCTTGGATTAGAATGATGGTATAATGGGAATATGACCACTCAAATGAAGTAATGAATTACCCTCTGGTAAACTAACATAGCGAACTGGAAAATAACCATGCTATTAATGGGAAAATCCACTATTTCTATGGCCATTTTCAATAGCTACGTTAAATTACCAGAGGGTATATTGAATTCATAAGACATGAAATAGAGACATTAATGGTCATCAATCCATTTTCAATCATTTTCATGGGGGTTAACATAGGATCCCTGTCAACACCATTCAATCACTCCTGGGAGGCCCTGTTCGATATACCCAGCAATCCCGCGGGATGACCTGGATCACTAGCCTCTGGTTATGTCAAAATAGCTATTGAAAATGGTCATAGAAATAGAGGAATTTCCCATTAAAAATGGTGATTTTCCATAGTTATGTTAAATTACCAGAGGGTATACCATTTTTTTTTTCAAAACCATCTTTTGGCCATGGCACATACGTTTCGCCATAGTCTGCGTTTTTTTTTCGTACCAGTTTGACAGGAAAGTTAAAAAGCGGCCTACCAACAACTAGCCTTCTTTGTGGGGATTGGCCAAGATTGACCAATAAGTTGCGACACTTTAGACAGCTACCATCTTTTCTGGATAAATTGTGAGGACCATCACTGCAACGTCAAGACGCAAATGATGGTTCATACTTGGGTAGTAAATATCCCAAAATGACTTTAGTTCAGGTGTGTCAATCATTGTAGTTCGGCTAGAATAAATAAACATATGTACTTATATGTATTTATATTATGTATGCAAACATATTACTTGTATACATACATGCAAAAAAAGATCTTAGTTGCTAAGCAATGTCCTCAAAATATCAGCATGTGAGCATCCGGTGAATGCCAGGGGATGATTCCAGCGCAAGCCGCTCCTTTTTTAAAACGTTCGCGTTGAAAAACCCGACGTGGCTGAAGATTCTTGAGGAAACACGCTTTGTTTTTGGCCAAATCAAAAAAAAATCCAGTTTGGTGGGGATATCACCAGCATATCACCAGGAAATCATCTTAACATATCTTAACCCTTGGGGATTTTTTGATCCGTTTTTGGGATGATGGGATTCTCCCTGGGGACCATAATTATAGCTGGTGGTTGAAGCCAATGGACCAGTCCATTTTCCAGCGTCGAAATGGGATGGTTGTGATAGGGACTACACTTCGGAACAGCAAAAATTTTGGGGCCGCAATTTTGGGCGGCTGAAAAAAACCACTGGATGGCCGTTTTGGGGGTTGTATAATGTTGTTTTTAACTGATGTCAGCTGGCTCAACCAGCAACATCCACCAGCAAGTTTTGGTTGCAAACCATCGGTTCCACCTTTGAAGAATCACAGAGGCTCCAAGTGGCTGCACGATGCTCCGGTGGATTTGGTGATGTTGCAGAAAGAAGGTGGGGGTTCTTTATGGGGAAATGATGGGAACATGGGGAACATTAATTGAAAATGACCGGACATTATCTGGAAACGGCACGTGCAAGTAAGTATATGTATAATATGTATATATATAATATATATATATATTATAATATTATATATATATTATATTATATATTATATATTATATATTATATATTATATATTATATATTATATATTATATATATTATATATAATATATATTATATAATATATATATATATATTATATTATACATATTATATATATATTATATATAATATATATATATCATATACATATTATACATATTATATATATATATATATATTGTATATATACAGTTAAAACCAGGCAAACCCAAATATATCCAAGTTAAAATCCGGTAAACCAATCTCTTATTTTAGACGACTCCCAGCAAAAAAGGATCTTTGAGAATCTTTGAGGTTAGTTACTGTACTGATTCTATATAGTGATATAGTGTATATATATACACAATTCAGCCAGACTAATGGACAGGTGCCACAAGCACTGAAGGCCTGTGTGGCGGTGAAATTTCACCCAGCTTTGCCACAGGCATGAAGAAACATGCCGAGGAGTGGGGTCAGGGGGTGTGAAGCTTCCCTGGATGGGAAAATCACCCTGAAACCTCAAACTTGTATGAAATTCAGACTTTCAATAGGAAGGTCATCATCCAGACCACACCTAAATTTATTGACCCTCTGGTTATTTAACATAGCCATGGAAAATGGCCCATACCCAGTTGGTAGTTTTTGACTCCAAAGTTTGTTTCCAAGCCAGGCATGGGGTTTTTCAAGAATCAACCATGAACACCCACCATTTTTTGAGATGATTTCAGGAAAACCCACCATTTTTTGAGATGATTTCAGGAAAACCCACCATTTTTTGAGATGATTTCCCTGATTTCCCCTAAAAAAATCCTCCTTAAAAATCCAGGGGATTTTCGAGCGCCATCCTGGAGGAGCAAATCGTGATCCTGAGCAAATGCTATCCATCCAGGTGCCACCATTAGTGTGTTACGAAAGGAACCGATGGAAATAACAAATGTTGTGTTTTTGATCCGGAATTTGATCATCCGGTTATTTAACATAGCCATGGGAAATGACCCATTTATAGATGGTTTACCTATTAATGTTGTGTTTGCAGGATCCGGAATTTGATCCTGCATTTCATTTTTTGAAATCTCCCCGCTATTTCTCAGAGGAGACATCAAATGATGAAATGACAATGCCAATGTTGGGGCAGATAACTCCCCATTCTTAGAAGTTCTTGATCGTCAGATGACATTAAATCAGATACCCTCTGGTAATTTAACGTAGCTATTGAAAATGACCATTAATAGTGGATTTTCCCAGTAAAAATGGTGATTTTCCAGTTCGCTATGTTAAATTACCAGAGGGTATCTCCACTATCAGACATCAAATCTCCACTGGAAGTTGAAATTTTCGCCTCGATATCTTTCCACATCAAAGCGATCAACATATTTCCTGCAGATGCGATGCCCCGTTGTGAAATGTTGTTTTGGTTGTAGCCATTTAACAATCGATTCATCTATCATAAGCATTCAATAAGTTTAGTTATCTAAAGATATATCATGATCTTTTTGATGAGATATCTGTAATCTATCATCTAAGCATAGACTTATCTATCATAATCATTAACAACTGGTTGGTGGTTTGGAACATGAATTTTACTTTTCCATATATTTGGAATTTCATGATCCCAACTGACGAACTCATATTTTTGAGAGGGGTAGGTATACCACCAACCAGATAATCTATCATATCACCCATCCATACCATTCACCGGCGGACACCGAGCTCCCAGGCGCACGGCGGGCTACTCGCTGCTGAACGAGCGCCGGGTGGCGTCAGTGCAGGGCCAAGCGGTGAAAAACATCCGAGAGATGCTGGGGGCCTCGGTTGTTGGCGGCGCTAGCTGGACAATCCGTTGTATGCGATGAGTTTCGCTATCAACTTCTATTTAGTGGATTTTCCATACGATGTTTGATTTTCACGGTATTTGCAACTGCTTGGGGGATTCCAGTGGACTGTTTATATAAGTGGATCTTATGTCATAGTGATTTTTGTTGGCCCCATATCACTCAAGGATGTTATCACCATGGTTATAGCCAGTTTTCATAACCAGTAACAACCCCCAGTCATGCACCCCCAAGTGAGGTGATTCAGCCATAAATCCAGTACTCAACCAGGGTTTGCTGGGGATATTTGATATGAGGAAGTAGAGATTGAATGGAATTCAATGGCGGGTCTAGCAATGATATGCAACTACTATATATGTATATATACCCTCTGGCTATTTAAATCTATTTAACATAGCCATGGGAAATGGCCCATTTATAGAGGTTTACCTATTAAAAATGGTGATTTTCCATGGCTATGTTAAATAACCAGATGGTAAACGGAAAGAAACGGGGGAATTTAGATACCAATGATAAGAGGCACTTTTTTCACCAGAAAAGGAGAGATTTTGCCATGCAGCTACTGGATTCCACGTCTCGGCAGGATAGGCATCCATTGGTTGGTGCACCCCCCATGTGATTCCCCAGCATGATGATGAACGATTCAAAAACAGGCAAAACCATATCGAATAAGATACCCTCTGGTAAACGTTACATAACGAACTGGAAAGATCCACCATGCTATTAATGGGTAAATCCACTATTTCGACTGGGCCATGTTCCAGCTCGCAAACTGTAAACGTTTACCAGAGAGTATATCCATCATTATCCCAGCATTATCGTTAGTAAACCCATTAAACCCATTCAACCTCCACTATTTCTCCAGTTACCCCTGTACGGTGGATGATTTCCCTTTTTTGGCGATTTTTTTGTGGGGAATTTCACGCACGGATGTGAATGGATGGAGGATTTACCAATAGTCAATCTGCTTGGCGGTTTGGAACATGAGTTTTATTTTTCCACACACACATATATATATATAGTATAATATAATATAATATAATATAATATATATATGATATATATATAGGGAATTTCATCATCCCAACTGACTTTCATATTTTTCAGAGGGGTAGGTATCCCACAAAGCAGTCAATGGACAGATTACGCTCTCCGCCCAAAACGCTGAGATCTTGAACCCAACTGATGAACCACTTACTGAGTGGGATGCAATGAAAAAGTGGTGGGCAGGATGAAGTTTTACCCAATAAGAGGAAAGCTTTTTCCAGTAACCCAAAATATTGATGTTAACGACAATGAAGATGGTTTTAACCTAGAAGGATGCGTGGTACACCGCGGTGAACGGTTGCAACCATCGGGTCAGATCAATCACAAAAGAGGTGAACATTAACCCCCGGCATCCCCCAGCAGAAAATGGGGGCTCGTTAAGGCACCAAGTTTTTTGGGTGCCCGGTTAGGGCACCAGGATTTCCAAATGATCTTCGAAATTCTGATGTTCACGGCCATGTTTCTGTGATGAATTCATCATCTCTGTTATACTCCATTTGTAGATCATTTCCTGAAACCACGGATTTTCCATATCTATGTTTAGTTCAGGCTTTTCAAATTCTTGTTTTCTTTGGCTTAGCGGCTTAGCCTTGATCTTTGTTGGTTGTAAAGAAACACTGATCTCACCTGGGAATGAAACTCCCCCAAGATTTTGGCTTATTTTCCAGTGGTATACTGTACCCTCCGGTGTCATCAACCGTGGCTTTTTCCAAGCGGCTCATTATATGATTCTCCTCTCAATTAATTTGTTAATTAATTAAACCTTCCATATTTGTAGATGATTCTCCATTGCCATCGTTTGATGACACCAGTGGTACTTTCCGTGATCATTTTTGTTGACAGTACCATTCCAGCGGCGTTTCGCGAGGTATGCATTGATTCAGTTGGGCTTCCCAGGGCTTGTCCGAGCCGAAATTGACTGTTGGGTGTGTCATCAAATGATACTAGCATTTATGGCCATTGAATGCTGGGAAAATGCTGCCAAAGTTTTTTTGGGTACCCAATTTTTCAGACAAACCGAAGAGTTTTTGCTTGAAGTTTATATGGAAGTCTCGTCAGAAACATCTGTTTTAGACATCTCTTCTAACCACTTGGCGCGATGTCCAACGTAACCAGCTGCCAAGTCTTGACCACTGGGATGCTGCACTTGGGATGGGCTTTCCACCTGGGCTATGGCCACGAATTCATGGGACATCAAGGGGGGTAGCCAGGTAGCCCATTTTGAGACAAACCCCAAAAACAGGACATCCTGGAGATGATCTGTTTGTTTCATGTGTATCTTGGCCCACCGGCCGATGTCTCAGGGAACTGGAGAAAACCGAAGACTACATTCATTTAAGTCTGTCCGGAGCCCAGAAGAAGAGTGGCAGGGCTTGAAGTTTCACCGTTTCACCCAGCGTTTTTTTTTGGGTTACACAAAAGTCACAAAACCCAAAATGTCTGTGATTTTCACAAAGCCACACCACGATGAAGTTCTAAAACAATAAGGGGAGAAGTGTTTCGCAAGCATTGAAAGACAGATAAGCTGGAAACCATCGGTTGGGAAAGCACAGATGTTCTGTTCGCCAGTCGCTTGGCAATCATGGTGGCTGCTACTGGACCCTCTATCTTCTTTTTGGTATCCTGTTGGAATTGTTGGTCATCCATTCTTATTAAATGGGCTAACGCCCTAGTGCCGCCGACCCCTTGAAAAAGGGTAGAGGAAGGAAAGCGCACCCCTCATGTATTCGTTTAGACCACCCAGAAATATGGGTGTATGATTGTTGAAAAACCACATCAGAGAGGATGCGAAAGGCCAAGACATTTGAAGGCTTAATCCATCTGGAAGATGTGCAGCCTTCTGGGCTCAGCGGGCCTCCCTGTTCACGCCCGTCGGGGACGGCAGCCTGCGGATCAGCATCCTACGGGAGCACTACCCCCAATCCTATATGGAGCCCCTCCAATGAGTAGATCCAATATTAAATCGAGATCTCATTTGGGAGGCATTTCATATGAGGGGGGTGCGGTCTGAGTCTCTTGTACAAGGTGTTGTGAAGTCACATCATGTGGCGATGAAGAAGACACTGGGGAAACGAAAAGGAGCCCCTGGTTGACCATCCCAGTGTCAACCCGGGTGAATAGTGTAGTTCAGAGGACGAGGAAGGGTTACCCTCTCGCGAACTAGAATCACCTTGATGCTTTGGGAACTGTGGTGGTGATGATTGGAAGGTTGTAGTAAGCTGCAATAGGACAGTAATCTACGGTTTGTTCCAATTATCGCTTAAGCGACGACAGAAAAAGTCCTAATATGAATATCGTTAGGATTTCACCCGCCAGCACCAGCGGGTAAAAACAGGTATAACTTACCCTTGATGAATCGGGTTCCCGGCTTAAGGGTGGAAGGAACAGCTTGGTACATGAAGCCCGGCAAGTGGAAGGAACAGCATTTGGTATAGGAAGCGTGGCAAGTGGAAGGAACAGCATTTGGTATATGCAGCGTGGCATTTCAGCCTGGATTTGAACATCCTTTGATTCGGGCATTGGGAAGCCAACTCATATTTGCATGTATCTGCTTCGTTCAGCTGGTGGGGGCCAGACACTGAACACAGCATGGAAACTGTTGCGCAGCTAAGGAAGGCTTGTGGACGCTGATGCAGCAGATTGGAGTGGGGGCTTCGCTGTTGAAGCTTCTGGTCGTGAGGCATGCTCAAGGATGTGGTCTGGCGCCCGGGCCTTTGCTATTTATCGGCTCCGGTGCCGTGCAGACCTGGCATCAACTGAGCAGTCCATGGCATCTTTTGCAAGCCCCTTGTCCGCAGCTGGAGCGTGGCCAGAAGTTAGTCAACAAACACAAAGTTTCGGTGACAGTGTGGTTGCAGAAAGAAAAGAGGTGGTTCTTCCATTGGATCCGGGTCTGCGAACTGTCATGTTCCCAGGAGTTCCGTTGTTTGTTAATTAACGAAACCTTGCTTATTTAAGCTAACCTTGCTTATTAATCTTCTTTAATTGACGACTTTTACCTTAATTAAGAGAAAACCTGTGTTGATTAAGTTAAAACTCTTTAATTAACGACTTTTGTTAAGAGAGGTTTAGTTAATTAAGCACGGTTATCTTATTTAAGCGACCCAGCTTAAAATTAAGCAAGGTTTTTGTTTTTGTTTTTACATCGCTTAAAATTGATGCATCTGGTTTTTTTATCAGCACTTTTTTTCGTCAAGCCTCGTTTTGCATGATGTTGTCCCCTAAAGTTAGGGGGCAAGCCTCCAAAAAAAACGAGCAAATGGCACTAGCAGCTGAACAAGACGGCCACGGTGAGACAATGAATGTGTCCTCTGATACCCTTCTTTTGCTTAGTTTCTCTATCTTGAAACTGCTTTGGTAATGTATTTTTACTTTTTTTGTTTATTTTTCCTGCTATGATTTATGTACTTTTTTTTGTTTACAAAAGACATGCATTTTGATTTCATTTCGAAAAAACATGAAAATTTCATTTTTACAATTTTCATTGTTTTTCCAACATTTTCATTGATTTTTTCAGTTTTTTATTTTTTATATACTTTTTTTACTTTTAAAGATTTTTAAAAAATAAAAGTTATATATATATATATATTTATTAAAACAGTTCAAAATTAAAAAATCCAAATTAAAAAGACACATTTTCAAAATTTGTTACATTTCATTTTTTTTTGAAAATCAAATTTTCATTTTTTTTTAACTTGACTTTGTTTGTTTATGTTTGATTTATTTTTTTTAATGTTTTTCTCTGTAAATGTTTTTTTTTCAAAAAGAAAATGTCGAAGGTGAATTTGATGTAACAGAAAAAGTAAAGAGGAAAAAAAAGGTAACCATATTCAATCAAGAAGATTTTTTTAAAGACACTTTCTTCGAAGGAGAATCATACCTTTGTATAAAAACAAATGTTGTTTAAGTCTTAGGGAAACAAGTAATGAAGACAAGTACGAATCTGCAAGCAAAAAGCTCCCAATACGTTAACAGATATCTTGAACAGGAAATATCTGAACAACATTAACCTTGCTTAATTTAAGCAAGCTTGCTTATCCTTAATTAAGCTAACCTTGCTTAAATAATTTAAGGCTAACCTTTCTTAATCTTAATTAACAGATAAAGGAACTCCTGGGTTGGCTCAGTGTGAGCGGTTGAAGCGCTGACATACGTGCCGGCTATAGGGGGCTTCATCAGTAACCAGATGTAGCCACCTCCATTGCAGTTTTCGTACGTGAGAATAAGTTGTGGGGCGAAGGTGTCGCAGCCATACCTACATGAATGCATGTCAGATGTGAGCCAGGTTGGTTAGGACGGTTCTTGTCCTGTGCAAAAATTGTGCGGCTGAGGCAATGCAGGCCATCGTGGAGTCTCATCTCGGGCCCCCATTTCTGTCCTTATAATAGTGTGTTTTCAAACGTTGGAGCGCCCCACAAAGCGGTGGAACCGTTTTGTTATTGCGTTGTTTTTTTTTGAAGCCGTGGAGGTTACTGTAATATGCAGTCAGATGTCAAGTGCAGCTGGCGCGTCTAGGGTTTTGTTCGTGCGTGTGTCAGGAAGTATTTTGGTAACGACCCGAAGTGGTATCATGACGATGGAACATCGGCGCAAAGCTACAATGAACTGTGGCAGTTGTATGCGTCACATCAAGGTATGCGTGTGCGACAGGGGTCTTCGAAGGTGGTGGAGTTCCCTTCGGGATTTTCACGGGTTGACAACGAAGTCTTGGATTTATTTGAAGCCTTACTCATCCGTTGGATGGGCCTTGGCCAGATGTGCGGGTCTCACCTTTGAGACGTGGAGCTGGGCGGTTGGCCGGCTGTGCTCGATTCCGTGCCTTGTCGTTGTATGCGAGGTCTTTAACAGAACACGCTCACAACTGCAGCGGCGCATGGTCTTTAGATCTGGGTGTTGAAGCATGAAAAATTGTTTTCCCAATGTTGATCCCGGCAAGGTAAAAAGCAGAGCCCAAAGCAAGTAAGGCCCATTGATAAAGGACGAGGATAGGGAGTTAATAGCTGTCACTGTGCAAAGCCACATTAGGACGGTTGCGGTTAGTGGATCTGGGTCACATGTGATATTGTTGATGAGTGCTGCGTTGCGAAGCAACTGGCCGAGGCAGCCAGAAACTTTGCAGCTGGACGTACCAATTGGACCGGTGCTCATTGGTGTGCTGGAGTCAGGTGTTGGCAGGGAATGTGGCGCAGCAGGGCATGTCTTGTTCCTGGCCCAGCAGTTGCGTTCCAAACGACCTTGTAGCGGCCGCCCAACTGCAAGTTATGTCAGTGAATGCTGATCGGTGTTACTTTGAACTATTGGCGCCTGATCGGTGGGTAAGCGTTGGTGTCAATTCACAACAGGGCCTAATCAATGTGTGAGCGCTTCCGTTTTCGTGAATACCGCAAAAGTTTTTCACATGTTGTCGATCCAAAACGCTAAGGAATCTTGTCAGCGCGGCTCATTAAGAAATTGTTTTCCTTTGCCATGAGATGGTTTTGGTAGTTGTTGGGTACGTCTTTGAGCCACTGCCAAACAACCTTATACAAGTCCTGTAGGATTATTCTAATCGTCATCATAATACAATCATCTTCCCCGTTGTTTTCATGAACAAGGATCATGAATCGCACAGGAAACCAATGTGGCGATTTTAACGTATGACCAACGACACCAATGAACCATCCAAGTCACTTCAATTGGGCGTTTTTGCGATGCCGCGCCTATCTCAGGATTCGCGGGACACGTTGCTGTCATTATTGGCGCACGCGTGTCTGCCATCAGAAACAGGGCTTGGCGGGCTTTCTTGCAGCTCCCGTGGGTTAAACGTATCTGTTGACCGGCGGGGCTTTGCGATCCTATCAGAAAAGCTTAGAGGCTAACAATATTTCATGTTTGCTGTGCTTCGTGTGTGCTCGCAAATATCCGTATGTCAGAAGCAGCCGCAATCAAGAAGTGGGCTGGGTGCAGCCCGTGGACGGCAAAAATGAAACTATTTTTGGCCAATCGCCTTGAATGCCCTAACGACAGATGGCTCTGGAGGCAAACGGCAGGCTTGAACCTACAAAAACCAGTTCCACACCTGCGGTGGTCCCAGGCGCCGCCCCTGCCTTGGCCAAGGCCGGGGTCGGCGGATACAGTATATATAAGTATATATGTAATATGATGTAGTAATAATATATATATATATATTAATAAACAAAATATAATATAGATACAGTATATATAACTATATATATATAATATGCTGTAGTAATAAATATTTATATATATATATCAAACAATAAATATAGTAAAATATGATATATAATCTGTAATATTTAATATTCAATAAATAATATATGAGAGAGAGATATATTATACGTACAATATACCATATTCCATATATTACATACCATATATTATATATGTAATAGAAAATATAGTTTATAAAATATTACATACAATATATGATATAAAATATACATAATATATTATTTATACACTACAAAATATAATACATAATAGATCATACAATATAAAACATATAATGCAATATATAATATAATAGTAAAAAATACAATACAATATATAATGCAATGTGATACAATATATTACACTATAATATAATATTATATAGCACGATGTAAAATCATATATAATATATAGTACATAATTTATAGTATATAAGATACACTATATAGTATATAATATATATTATATAATATATAGTATATAATATATAGTATATAAAATTTAATATGTAATTTATCATATTTAATAATTAAAGTATAATATACAATACAAAATATATAATATCAAATATAATATATAGTTTTAAATTTACAATTTAATATACAATATAACATAATATATAAAATATAATATATAATATATAATTTTTGAATTTTAATATTTAATTCATAATATATACTTTAGTACAATATAATACAATATAATTCAATATAATATGAGATAATTTGATATATAATTTTTTAAAATATAACATAATATAGTATTATGTAACATAACATATAACATCACATAATATAGTATAAAACATAATTTATTTTAATATAATATAATAGACTACGATATAATATAATATAATATAGTATAATATAATATAACATAATATAATATATAATCATACAATATAATAGAGTCTATGTAAAATATTTTAATGTGATATAATACAATATAATTTAATATAATATAGTATAGTATAATATACAAATTAATATTAATAAACGTACACATTGATATCCATTCAATATCTATCAAGTTCCAGGGAAATTTCCAGGTCCTGTGTGGGCAGCGACATGGTGGCGGCCATCGCCACCTCCACGGCCAAAGATGTCAACGAGGAGCGGAAAAAACAACAACCGGCTTTGGGCGGCTTTGGCTTGGGTTTTACTAAGCTGTTGATTGTTTTTTAATGGTTTTTAGTGGTTTTCAATGGATTTTAGTGGGCTTTAATGGGCTTTAATTTTTTTTTTTCGAAGGAATGTCTAGGTTTTTTTCCCATCTTTTCTGAAAACTTCCGTGAGGAAGACGTAATCTTTTAGCAATGTTTGGTTGTGAGGATGTTGTTTGAGGCACAGTATGGTTGATTTATTTTGAAACAGAAAAAAATACGTCGACAACACGGTTTGGAAGGTGACATTTTTGGAGAGGAATTCCGGGCCAGTTTGAGGTTTAAATGGTGGAAGAATTCTAGGTCAATCTTGGATGGGTAGAAACTAATCCTTTAGTCTTTAGGTATCAATGGGATTATCTACTAACCAGCTAAGAATTTAAGTTCTTGCAGGGTATCTAAGATTGGCATAGATTGGCCATGAATTGAATTGGGTTGGTGAGTCCACAGGTTTGTGGGGATTATTCAGGATGTCTCTAGACTTCTACTTGATCATTTTTTGCGTGGAACAATCAAACTGGGCAACCCACCAAAACGAATGGTTTACCCTCTGGTGATTTAACATAGCTATGGAAAATCACCACTAAAATGCTAGAAAATTATTATCGAACCATCCCAAAACCATAGCAAACTGTCAATTCCCTGAGGGTAAGACTAAACATGACATTCTTAGTGCATGGGTCAATGGCTAACATTTTGACCCAGACCCCTCTCACGAAGTCCGTATGTCCAAGAGGAGGTGATGAAAGTTTATCGCATTCCTTCGACAGCGTCCCCGGACCTGTTTCTGGTCGAAAGCGGGCGATGTTTGCCGATCTTTTTCGGGATGGGCTGCTGAAATATGCTGAAATTGTCCAAGTTTGGTATTGTATGGTTCGGTTGAAACATGTTGGAATCCCAATAATTGTCGGTTTATCACGAGTCTTAGTGCTCATATTCCTATGTCGCTAGGCATCTGCTTGCTTTAATTCTGTTGGTTCCGATTCCATCCCTAATTTTTGTTGGTAAATTCTGCAAATTCATTCGACGAACACGACGAGTGGGGCAACCAGCATATGGCATATGGCCACGTGATACAGAAGATGAAGCAGTTGAACTCATGGGGATATGGGGGGTCAAAACCTACTATGACTGGTTGGTGGTGACTGGAACCATGGAATTTTATGACTTTCCATTCAGTTGGGAATTTCATCATCCCAACTGACTTTCACTCCATCATTTTTCAGAGGGGCAGGTCAACCACTAACCACGCAATAGTAACCATCATTCACCATATAATAACCATTCATATTAACCATATATTAATAGTATATTACCAACCAATGGTAGGTCAACCACCAACCAGCATATTTTTTGGGTGAATCAACATCCTCCAGCTATTTTGACTCGCCAAAAAAATGACTCCGACCTCATCTCAACAAAGTAGGTGGAGCTGCTTGGTGGAGGAAATACTGGTGGAATCGATCAAAATGAATTTTTGGCCCAGTCATGGGGATATTTCATGTTAGGGCTATGGGATCAGTGTTTCCATGTGTTACCAGCAGGGTTGGAACATGTTGGAACCACCAAGCTGATAAGAATGGAATATCTTCGCAGGTCCCATGTTAGCACACCTCTGGTGCAGAGCTACCACATCTCGAGGGAACCTTTTGGACCGATTTCCTGATGTTTACCCTGCGGTAATCAAAGATTGCATCGCAAAGAACCGTATTTTTAGTTGCAGAATTATGTAATTATGTATGAATAGATATGAAATGGATATGAAATGGATATGAGATACACAGATTGTCTGCCATCTGTGATATCTGTTATTTTCACTTTTTTGGTGACTCCCGAGGTTGACGGAAGTCCCGGAAGCCTGAGGTGCGCCGGAGTCAATCAACTCCTTGAAACGGCAACGCCAAACCACTCATCTGGTGCAAAACATGATCAAATACCCATAGGATCCATGGTGCTGGTATATATGCTAACATTTGGGGTATATTGATGGTAATTGTTACCGTATATAGCCTACATGGATCCTATGGGATATGGATTCTGATTCAATCCATAATTCCTAGACTTCCAGTTATCTTTTGCAATCTCGGAGTAAAAAAGTGTGAGTTGAGTAAGTTCTTGACAATTTGAAGGTGCTGATATTTGTCACTACCAGTAGTTGGAGCATTGCCCGCGGCTTGAGTTTCTTACGACTCGCATCTTTCGAGTCATCAAGGGCTGCTGCTGTTTTGGCTGAGGTTTGATGAAGACAACATCAGTTTTAAAGACTCGCAGAGCAACATTGTTCAACTGTGCCACGAGAAGGTGGGAACTTGGGACCCTTCGGGTACCAGCATCCAGTAGGCTGGTTTTGACAAAAGTCTGACTGCAAATCCTAATTTCAAGGCAGGGGCCCTTACCAAGTTCCTTTCCCTTCTGTTAACTAGATCGGCTGGATCTTCATTCATACAAACCCATTGAGTAGCGGTAGGTGTTGGCAGCAGTTTTTTCAACCCTCCACCTCCAGTGTCACGCCCGAAACCCTCGTCTCTATGGGTCGGACTCGGAGCTCCCCAAGCAATTGTTGGTTCTACCCAGTCAATTTTTGGGTCCCAACACCTTTTCATATAACAAGGACAAATTTTGACTCGGGCGCATGTCGACTGGTGCCGCTGCCCCTTCCTCTCCGATTCAACTTAACGTTCAGTTCCTGGCTGGTGAAGGATTCACGCTGTGCGCCCTCCCTACCACCTTGGTCAAGGAAGTGCGAAAGGCGGTTCTGGAGCGAGATGCGCGAAAGAAACGCGGGAAGGTCATCCTGTTTCACAACGACTCAGCCCTAGTATCCGACCAGACTCTGCAACAACAAGGCATCCTGGGGAAGGAAGCAGTTGTGAATTGCACTTTTGTGCCAATCGATTTGTATGCTGCTTGGTGTTGTGTCCAAGGAATTTCGGTGAATGAAGGAGAGTTTGCAATGGATGGGGTGACGCGGCTGGAAGGTGCGCCCCTGGGCCAATATTTGCAAAACCTTCCCGATTCCCTTGAAAGCTTCTTTCTCCATCCCCACGTCGATGGATTCCACCGAAGACTAGATGGATTGACAGTCACATTCCCGAGGGGTCTTAGGACCCTGAAATTTGGTCATGCGTTCAATCAGAGCCTCGAAGGTGTCTTCAAACCTTGGAATTTGGTTTTCGGTTCGACCAGAGCCTCAAAGGTGTGACTTTGCCAGATGGTCTTCAAACCTTGACATTTGGTTGTCAGTTCGACCAGAGCCTCGACGGTGTGACTTTGCCAGACGGTTTTCAAACCTTGACATTTGGTGGTCAGTTCGACCAGAGCCTCGACGGTGTGACTTTGCCAAACAGCCTTCAAACCTTGAAATTTGGTGATCAGTTCGACCAGAGCCTCGAAGGTGTGACTTTGCCTAACAGTCTTCAAACCTTGAAATTTGGTGATCAGTTCGACCAGAGCCTCGAAGGTGTGACTTTGCCGGACGGTCTTCAAACCTTGAAATTTGGTTACAAGTTTGACCAGAGCCTCGAAGGTGTGACATTGCCAGATGGTCTTCAAACCTTGACATTTGGTGGTCAGTTCGACCAGAGCCTCGAAGGTGTGACTTTGCCAGACGGTCTGCAAACCTTGGAATTTGGTTGCAAGTTTGACCAGAGCCTTAAAGGTGTGACTTTGCCAGATGGTCTTCAAACCTTGACATTTGGTGGTCAGTTCGACCAGCGCCTCGAAGGTGTGACTTTGCCAGACGGTCTTCAAACCTTGGAATTTGGTTTTCGGTTCGACCAAAGCCTCGAAGGTGTGACTTTGCCTAACAGTCTTCAAACCTTGAAATTTGGTGATCAGTTCGACCAGAGCCTCGAAGGTGTGACTTTGGCAGGCGGTCTTCAAACCTTGACATTTGAGGGTCAGTTCGACCAGAGCCTCGAAGGTGTGACTTTGCCAGACGGTCTTCAAACCTTGGAATTTGGTTACAAGTTTGACCAGAGCCTCGAAGGTGTGACTTTGCCAAACAGCCTTCAAACCTTGAAATTTGGTGAGCAGTTCAACCAGAGCCTCGAAGGTGTGACTGTGCCAAACAGCCTTCAAACCTTGGAATTTGGTTTTCGGTTCGACCAAAGCCTCGAAGGTGTGACTTTGCCTAACAGTCTTCAAACCTTGAAATTCGGTGATCAGTTCGACCAGAGCCTCGAAGGTGTGACTTTGCCAGACGGTCTTCAAACTCTGTCCTTGGTTTTGGATTGCAGCCTTAAACAAGTCACTCTGCCTTGCACTCTTGTGAATCTAGACTTGGAAGGCATAACCCTGAGTTGCTCGTGATTCTTGTAATTGCAGTCCTGGTGCACTTCTTCGGACCAGCAAAATGGTGCTGGCTCTGTGGGCCATGGTGAATGGAGGGTCAGTCACATCAAATGAGGGATTTCTGTTACAATCTTGGATAACGGTTCATGATGTTTAATGTGAACATAATATATAATATGTATTCATATGTAATATAGTATTTATATGTATGTAATACATACTATATGTATATATAATATACCATTTATACATATACATATATAATATATATATATACATATATAGAATTATCACAGGAAGTTGGGAAGCAATCTTCCGAGGCACGGACGAATAGAATTCTGAGAGTTGACATTGATGAAGGGTGGTGCGCGATTGAGACTTACATTACATAACACTACATCAGAAAAGAATTGACCTTGATAAAGGGTGGTGTGAGACTTTACATTGCATAACACTACATCAGAAAAGAATTGACCTTGATAAAGGGTGGTGTGAAACTTTACATTGCATAACACTACATCAGAAAAGAATTGACCTTGATAAAGGGTGGTGTGAGACTTTACATTACATAACGCTACATCAGAAAAGAATTGACCTTGATAAAGGGTGGTGTGAGACTTTACATTGCATAACACTACATCAGAAAAGAATTGACCTTGATGAAGGGTCGTGTGAGACTTTACATTACATAACACTACATCAGAAAAGAATTGACCTTGATAAAGGGCGGTGTGAGACTTTGCATTACATAACACTACATCAGAAAAGAATTGACCTTGATAAAGGGTGGTGTGAGACTTTACATTGCATAACACTACATCAGAAAAGAATTGACCTTGATAAAGGGTGGTGTGAAACTTTACATTGCATAACACTACATCAGAAAAGAATTGACCTTGATAAAGGGTGGTGTGAGACTTTACATTACATAACGCTACATCAGAAAAGAATTGACCTTGATAAAGGGTGGTGTGAGACTTTACATTGCATAACACTACATCAGAAAAGAATTGACCTTGATAAAGGGTGGTGTGAAACTTTACATTGCATAACACTACATCAGAAAAGAATTGACCTTGATAAAGGGTGGTGTGAGACTTTGCATTACATAACACTACATCAGAAAAGAATTGACCTTGATAAAGGGTGGTGTGAGACTTTACATTGCATAACACTACATCAGAAAAGAATTGACCTTGATGAAGGGTCGTGTGAGACTTTACATTACATAACACTACATCAGAAAAGAATTGACCTTGATAAAGGGCGGTGTGAGACTTTACATTACATAACACTACATCAGAAAAGAATTGACCTTGATAAAGGGTGGTGTGAGACTTTACATTGCATAACACTACATCAGAAAAGAATTGACCTTGATAAAGGGTGGTGTGAGACTTTACATTGCATAACACTACATCAGAAAAGAATTGACCTTGATAAAGGGTGGTGTGAGACTTTACATTGCATAACACTACATCAGAAAAGAATTGACCTTGATAAAGGGTGGTGTGAGACTTTACATTGCATAACGCTACATCAGAAAAGAATTGACCTTGATAAAGGGTGGTGTGAGACTCTACATTGCATAACAATACATCAGAAAAGAATTGACCTTGATGAAGGGTGGTGTGAGACTTCACATTACACATACAATGCATCAGAAAAGACTTTTCCTTGATAAAGGGTGGTGTGAGACTTTACATTGCATAACGCTACATCAGAAAAGAATTGACCTTGATGAAGGGTCGTGTGAGACTTTACATTACATAACAATACATCAGAAAAGAACTGACCTTGATGAAGGGTGGTGTGAGACTTTACATTACATAACAATACATCAGAAAAGAACTGACCTTGATGAAAGGTGGTGTGGGACTTTACATTGCATAACAATACATCAGAAAAGAACTGACCTTGCTGAAGGGTGGTGTGAGACTTTACATTACATAACAATACATCAGAAAAGAATTGACCTTGATGAAAGGTGGTGTGAGACTTTACATTACACATACAATGCATCAGAAAAGACTTGACCTTGATGAAAGGTTGTGTGGGACTTTACATTACATAGCACTACATCAGAAAAGAATTGACCGTGATGAAGGGTGGTGTGAGACTTTACATTACATAACAATACATCAGAAAAGAATTGACCTTGGGACGTGGTGACGATGGGAAGTGGTGACGAAGGGAAGTGGTGAGGAAGGGAAGTGCTGACGAAGGGAAGTGGTGACGAAGGGAAGTGGTGATGAAGGTAATACTGCAAAATGCATTGAAATGGCTGCATGAATGTTGCATGGGCTTTGTTTTGGGGAGGAAGCCGGAGCACGAAACCTTGTATTTTTCCGTGTAAAGTGGCTGCTGCCGGCGATGAAAGGTACCTCCTGTGTGCGGCAGGTGCGGTTTGGATCGTTTCGAAGTCAATCGGTTCCTCCTCTGTGTTCTGCAACGAGTGGTTGTTCCTGTGTGCGTAGTTCTATGCGTTTCTTGAATCTGTGGTTGCAGATCGCATTGGAATGGGTGCATGATTGTTGTCATCTGGTGTTGCCATGTGCGTAGAGAGATGCGGGTTAGCCACGTCATGCTGCAAAACCCAATGTAATGGTTGCATGAATGTTGCATGGGCTTTGTCTTGGGGAGGAAGCCGGAGCATGAAACCTTGTATTTTTCCGTGTAAAGTGGCTGCTGCCGGCGATGAAAGGTACCTCGTGTGTGCGGCGGTTGCGGTTTGGATCGTTTCGAAGTCAATCGGTTCCTCCTCTGTGTTCTGCAACGAGTGGTTGTTCCTGCGTGCGTAGTTCTATGCGTTTCTTGAATCTGTGGTTGCAGATCGCATTGGAATGGCTGCATGATTGTTGTTGCTTTTTGTAGGTTTCAAACGTCGCGTTGCTTCATTTCGCGTGGCAGGCGTGGCACTTCGTGACATTCAGACGTGTTTTGTAACGTGTCGAAAATGGTTTTGTGTGGCAGGCGCAATACTTTCGCGACGTTTTCAGAAGATGCGTTGCATTTTTCGTGGCAGGCGCAGCACTTTAGACGTGTCCATCGTCATTTTGCATGGCAGGCGCAGCGCTTTAGACGTGTCGAGTTTCGTTCCCACTTGTTTGATAATGTGTCGAAAGTCGTTGTGTGTCGTGGACGCAATACTGTTGTGACGTTTTCGCACGATACGTTGCAGTGTTCATGGTAGGCGCAGCACTTTAGACGTGTTGTGTTATGTTTCTTTTCCAAATCGCTTTGTCAGAGCTGTGTCGAGTTGTGCAAAGTGTTTACGCTCCACTCCACACTTTACATTCTACACTTTACACTCCACATTCGAAGTTTTAGAGTTGTGATGTTTCGTGGTGACTGTTGTTTCCGACTTGTTTCCGAGTGGTCATGTTTCACTCAATTTGGTTCGTCAGAGTTTGGCTGTGCTCAGCGTCAAGACTTCGATCGGCATACACAGTTCGTGACAGAACAGATGCAGATTTCTGAATCACTTGATTGGAAGGTGATGATTGCTGTGCGCCGCTGCATTGCGACGCTAGTGATGACGTCGCGGAGAGAAAACAAAATACTGTAAGGGCAATACCATTTCGTGCGCACTCCATGCTCTACGTTCCACATCCCATAGTTTACAATTGAGATTTTAAAACAATGCAGTTCCATATGTCTCGACATGTGCACATACGTGTGAGCATTCGGGTTCGTGGGCTGCATCTTGTATTTTTCCGTGTAAAGTGGCTGCAGCCGGCGATGAAAGGTACCTCCTGTGTGCGGCAGGTGCGGTTTGGATCGTTTCGAAGTCAATCGGTTCCTCCTCTGTGTTCTGCAACGAGTGGTTGTTCCTGTAGTTCTATGCGTTTCTTGAATCTGTGGTTGCAGATCGCATTGGAATGGGTGCATGATTGTTGTCATCTGGTGTTGCCATGTGCGTAGAGAGATGCGGGTTAGCCACGTCATGCTGCAAAACCCAATGTAATGGTTGCATGAATGTTGCATGGGCTTTGTTTTGGGGAGGAAGCCGGAGCATGAAACCTTGTATTTTTCCGTGTAAAGTGGCTGCTGCCGGCGATGAAAGGTACCTCGTGTGTGCGGCGGTTGCGGTTTGGATCGTTTCGAAGTCAATCGGTTCCTCCTCTGTGTTCTGCAACGATTGGTTTTCTGTGTGCGTAGTTCTATGCGTTTCTTGAATCAGTGGTTGCAGATCGCATTGGAATGGCTGCATGATTGTTCATGTGGTGCTGCCATGTGCGTCGATGCATGCGGGTCAGCGACGTCATGCTACAAAATGCATTGTGATGGCTGCGTCAAGGTTGCTTGGTGCCGCGGCTGCATGGGTAATACTATAGTTACTATTGTCTTTTGCAGCTGGGCATTGTAAATCGTATTGGAGTGGCTGCATCAAGGCTGCGATAGTGATTTGTCGGCAGACTTTTTCAATTTTGGCGCTAGTAATTTTCCTTTCCACATTCCTTTTAAAAAGTGCTTCAAAATCGTCTTTTTGTCGCTTTGGCGTCGCGATCCGGTTTTGGAGCTGCAAGTTCCGACGCCGTTGCGCGTAGTTTTATTGTGTTTTGCAAGTCAGTCTCTGCAGATCGCATTGTAATGGCTGCCTCAAGGTTGCTTCGTGTCGCGGCTGCATGCGTAATACGATTGTCTTTTGCAGCTGGATCTCGTAAATAGTGTTGGAGTGGCTGCATGAAGGCTGCGACAGTGATTTGTCAGCGGATTTTCTCACCTTTTAAAATTCCTTTTAAAAAGCGTTTCAAAATCGTCTTTTTTTTCGCTTTGGCCTCGAGATCCGGTTTTGGAGCTGCAATTCCTGTTGTGATTATGTACAAGAAAGCTTCTCTGTGTAATTTTTTTTTCTGTAAAAGCTTGCTGTGTGTAAAAGATTTTGTGTGTAAAAGCTTCTCTGTGTGTAAAAGCGTCTCTGTGTAAAAGTTTCTGTGTGTGTAAACGTTTGCCATGTGTAAAAGCACTGTGCGTAAGTGTTCTGTGTGTAAACGCTTGCTGTGTGTGAAAGCTTGCTCGCTGCGTGTAAAAGCTTCTCTGTGTAAAAGCTTGTTGTGTGTAAAAGCTTCTCTGTGTGTAAAAGCTTCTCTGTTTAATAAGCTTGCTGTACGTGTAAACGCTTGCCATGTGCAAAAGCACTGTGTGTAAGTGTTCTGTGTGTAAACTCTTGCTGTGTGTGAAAGCTTGCTGTGTGTAAAAGATTTTGTGTGTAAACGCTTGCTGTGTGTAAAAGCTTCTCTGTGTGTAAAAGCATCTCTGTGTACAAGTTTCTGTGTGTGTAAACACTTGCCATGTGTAAAAGCACTGTGTGTAAGTGTTCTGTGTGTAAACGCTTGCTGTGTGTGAAAGCTTGCTTGCTGTGTGTAAAAAATTCTCTGTGTAAAAGCTTCGTGTGTAAAAGCTTCTCTGTTTAAAAAGCTTGCTGTGTGTGTAAACGCTTGCCATGTGTAAACGCACTGTGTGTTGGTGTTCTGTGAGTAAACGCTTGCCATGTGTAAAAGCACTGTGTGTAAGTGTTCTGTGTGTAAACGCTTGCTGTGTGTGAAAGCTTGCTGTGTGTAAAAGATTTTGTGTGTAAACGCTTGCTGTGTGTAAAAGCTTCTCTGTGTGTAAAAGCGTCTCTGTGTAAAAGTTTCTGTGTGTGTAAACGCTTGCCATGTGTAAAAGCACTGTGCGTAAGTGTTCTGTGTGTAAACGCTTGCTGTGTGTGAAAGCTTGCTTGCTGTGTGTAAAAGCTTCTCTGTGTAAAAGCGTGTTGTGTGTAAAAGCTTCTGTGTGTAAAAGCTTCTCTGTTTAAAAAGCTTGCTGTGTGTAAAAGCTTCTCTGCGAAAGAGCTTGCTGTGTGTAAAAGCTTTCTTTGTGCAAGCTTGTTTAAAAAATAGTGGGAAATACTTTGTGCAAGCTTTGCGTTACAAAGTTGTACTGGGAAATACTTTGTGCAAGCTTTGTATTACAAAGTTGTACTGGGAAGTACTTTTTGCAAGCTTCGTAGTACACAGTTGGACTGGGAAGTAGTTCGTGCAAGCTTTGTAGTACACAGTAGTACTGGGAAGTGCTTTGTGCAAGCTTCGTAGTACAAAGTAGTACTGGGAAGTGGCTTGTGCATGTTTTGTAGTACAAAGTAGTACTGGGAAGTGCTTGGTGCAAGCTTTGTAGTACAAAGTAGTACTGGGAAGTGTTTTGTGCAAGCTTTGTAGTACAAAGTAGTACTGGGAAGTGTTTTTTGCAAGCTTTGTAGTACAAAGTAGTACTGGAACGTGTTTTGTGCAAGCTTTAGTAATAAAGAAGAACCCCCAAATTTTAAGATGATAAATAATGTGGATGGTTTACTTAAAATTGGAATCGGAGAAGATATAAAACAAATAGAAATAATTGCTGAAGATAATAATTTAACTGAATTGTTTTTTCAACTGCTTACTCATGGGGATGAACCTAAAATAAAGTGTCAAGCAGGTATTATAACAGAAATCGTCATAATGAAATTATTAAAACACAAAATCTAGTTGACACTAGAAAGAAATGTGAAAACTCAGACATAAGCGCACGCTCACAGTGACCAGCTCTCTATTGAAAACAATGAATGATGATGAAGACGATGGTGATGATAAATGATGAATGATGAATGATGAATGATGAAAAACGAATAAGATCATGATGATGGTGATGATGATGATGATGAGGACTGGAGAGTGATGATGATGATGATGATGATGATGATGACGACGACGACGACGACGACGACGACGATGACGATGACGATGATGAAGATGGTGATGATGATGATGATGATGATGATGGTGACGACGACGACGATGATGATGAATGGTGGGTCATGATGAATGATGAATGGTGGGTCATGATGAATGAATGAAAATGGCGACGGTGATGAAAATGATGATGATGATGATGATGTTGATGATGGTGATGATGATGGTGACGATGACGATGATCGTGATGATTAGGATTATGATGATGATGATGACGATGATGATGATGATGAGGAGGATGAGGATGACGATGAGGATGAAGATGATGGTGATGATGACGATACGATGACGAGGACGAGGACGATGACGACGATGATGACGTGTGCTCGCCATGTCACAGAAAGGAAGCACCCCTGAGGCCGGGCCAGCATTCGCCACGGGCAAAGCAGCTGCTTGCCACCTGGACATTGGCTGAGGGAACACGAGAGGCGCCGCGGCTGCTGGATGGCAGGTTCATTTTCACCCATGGTGCATTGATGTATTATATGTTGTAATTTTTTACATACGGTACGGTAGATTTATTGCCCGATCTCCGTTTGATAAGGCTTGAAGATTTAAGACGATTAATTTGATCAGAACTGATTGTTTCTCGGGGATATTGGACAGTTTCGGTTGCTCCATGAATGTCGAATGGAAATCGCATGGTTTTCTCCACCCATGTCTCAGCGATTTGTTGGCGCCCTGGATCAAAGAGAGCTGGGGCAGCGACAGTGTCAAGCTTTACTCCGTGAAGAACCATGGAGAGCGTTTGCTATTCAAAGACCTTTATTGATATTGAGGAGGTCAATGAATCATCGGCAGCGCAGCGAACATGCAGTGCTCCACCAGTGACTCTCAGCTTGAGAATTCATGTGGTGCTTTAGTGATTTCATTATTGGAGCACCCCGTAGCCAAATGACTTCTCGCAATTTCTTAATTCTCAGTTGGTCATAAAAATGGGTTCTGAGTCTCTGCCACCTTTTTTTCTGTGGTACTTTTCCAGACATTTAGGCAGTTTGCATGTTATTTTTACGGGAAGTGTAGGAGAGATTACCACTTGTTTCCGGAAAGAGGCGGCTCTGAAATCTCAGGATGGCTATCTCCCTGGAGAACACCGCAAGCAAGTTCGCCCCTCATCAATTTGAAGAGCGCAGGATCAGTCTGCAGGCCACTGATTTTTTCGGGGACCCAGGTGGCCATTGCGATCATCAAAAATGGCTGGAAAATTCCCCATTGAGGTTGATGATTTTCCGAATAGACCTTGATACAGTAGATATTTTGAGGGGATTTCCCATTCCCATGGTTGAAACAAGGTATGGATATATATATATATATAATACACATAAAAAAATACGCTACTTACTGCATCACGTAAGACTTCGGCCCTTAGCATCGTTTTGTGAAAGCGAGCCAGGTGTCGAAATTGCACCAGGGATCCCAACTCCTGGATGCGGAGAACTTGGCGATCTGCAATGAGGCAGGGTATACCCGAGTTATGGCTATCAGTTCATAGGGTAGATGTACAACACAAACATTGGATGTTTTGTACAGTATGTATATATGTATACATATATATATATACATACATATTTCAACAATGGGGAAATGATGGGATGTAGTGGGATACGCAACCAAACACATGATATTTGGGCGTGTCTAAAGATAGGGTATACCCCTCAAATGGCCATCAATTAGTAGCAAAACTAAGGATCAACCACCGGATTTACGGGTACCACACTATCAGAGAACCCAAGTTCTTCACCGCACCAAGTTATCGATCGTTGTTTGAGAAGCACCCAGCTTTTGCTTCATAGTGGCTGGATCCAAAAGATCAAATCAGGTCCCAAGTTGCGTTTGTGGATTGTCGAATCATGTTGAATAACAATCGCCAAGCCATGTCGGCCATTCAACCCCCATACAGTGAAGACATGGTCAGCTCTTCTCATCATGGCATCGCTAGGTGAATCTATCGCGTGGAAGCTACGGCCATCCAAATGTTTGTGCCCGGCCGTGTATCCTCTTCCTACGCGATGAATGTTACAAGGGAAGGAAATGTGGCTTCTGCCACTTGCCTCACGATGCTTGGTCTGAAGTCAAACATAGCGCAATTTTCTTGGGATAGGGAGGAAAGGGAATAAAAGGCGAAACAGTACACGGGCTTGTCCGGTTTGTACATGAGGGATGCCCCAGACTTCGAAAATGGTGGAACATGATGATCAACCATGCTAAAGTATGATAAACATTGGGCTTCTAGATTCTAAAATTTGAGGTAGTTCCAGTCATTAGTTGTTAGTTTCCAACATCACATGGGTGTAGGTCAAATTACCGATAGTTTACCACATCTTTTAATTATTTTCACTTCCATGCCCATCCCAGCAACATCTGAGGAATCGAGGCCTCCAACCCTCGACAAGCAACAACGCAGCTACTTGAAGGAGCTTCCCAAAGTCACCTTCCTGAAGATGCTCCTGCCATTTGTTCGTGAACGTGTGGAGGCGTGGTCGACAGCATATCTGTTTCTATATATTGATTCACATGTATATATATATATGTGTATCTATATACATGATCATACACGCATATATGTATCTACATAGATATGTAAACGTAAACATATATATATTCATACACGTAATTACACTCATACACACATACAGATATGTGTACATACAGATACACATGGCGTACATCTATCCATATTTGAATGAGCTCGCCAGGGCACTGAGCTAGACGCGGCCGTTGTGCTCCAGCTACTCATGTCGGAAATTTCAGTGCGTTCTCCAGAATCTCCAGCTCCGACCGTTTTTACTCCTACCCAAATTCGTATTGTGTTCGAGCGAATGAGTTTGGCTGGTTTAGTCAGTACAGCATGCACCATTCTGCCCCAAGACCGGTTTCCGAAGCTCATGAAAAATGAGTTGCGAAGGGTGCGAAAAGCTATCAAAGCTTTTGACCTGGATACTCTTGGCTGATGAGGCCAGATATCCCGACATCATACGTTGAAATGGCTAGTTTGCAGGCAATCGTGCAAAAAATCAAGAACATCTTGAGTCGAATTGCCTTCGGATGCGTCATTTCAATGTTTGGCAGTTGCTCAACAGCGTTTCCATATCATGCCTTTGAACCATGGAGGATACCACAGAAAAGTTCTTTGCTTTGAAATGTTTTGAGCATCAGCCTTCTCAATATGCCATTCAGGCGCAAACGCTATGCGTTAAGTATTTGGCCATTTATAACTGATGTTCAGAAAATCAAGAAGAAAGGAGTCATTGCCACCATCGCACCTCTCCAAAATACAGTGTGTGACAATTTGGGGCATCTGCATACCGTACCATACCATACCACATCACAACAGAATGTAACATTCCATTCCATAACATAATGTTGTACTAAATGCAAACAGAATAAAGTGGATAGGCAACCCATTACACTGCATCGAAGCAGGCTGGGCCACGTAAGTTTTCATTACGGTTTGTTACATTATCTTACCTTACTTTGCTTTATCGCACTAGGCTACATTAAATTTCGCCATACCACATTCTATTACAGTGCATTACATGACACTACATTGCATTTCACTATATCATTTGATATTGTATGATATTGTAATATATTGTATTGTATTGTATTGTATATTGTATTGTATTGTATTGTATTGTATTGTATTGTATTGTATTGTATTGTATGATATTGTATGATATTGTAATATATTGTATTGTATTGTATTGTATTGTATTGTACTGTATTGATTCGTATTGTATTTACGCTTTAGTTATATTACCACCTTTAAGAACTCGTCTTTGCCTCAGCAGAGCTTTGTTGACCTCTTTCAAAGCATGTAGAAGTCAGTCCTTGTTGCCTAGAACAACCCTGAAAGCATTCACTTGAGCCATTAAATATAAATATATATATATATATGTGCCTGTTGATTGCTTAATAGGCTATACTAACTGGTTTGTTGGGTTTTAGATTGCAACCCATTGCAGGGAGATTATTGATGCCTCACTTGTTTCAACATCAAAAGTTGATCTCAGCTGTGCTGGTACTTTAATTATGCATCGAATGTGTGGCTTCCAACTGTTTCCCGCTGTTTTGTAGAACGCCTTCACGTTACAGATATTTGGGAGTATTTGGCCTAGTATTTCCATCACAGCCAGCACTACATTTGATTTGCCTGTCATTTCGGTGACAACAAGAGTTGGACTTGTTCATTTCGACATCAGCAAGCTCGCATGGTAATTCTTTGCAACTTCTTGTTTATACCCTCGCACAGAGCAAGAGCATGGCAAACACTCGGAAAGCAGGTGTGTGGAAACAAACTCACAGAGGGGATAGACAAGCAGGTTTGAAGTACCCCACCGTGCCAACCCAAGTGTTTTGAACATTTTGCAAACATTGTTTTACATTCCAAACGATAGGAAATCAATTGCTTTGAAAAGAGGTTGGCACTGGTAAATATATACATGCAGTGCAGGCCACCAACAAGCTGTACAAATAAGATTTAAAACTTCCCTAATTGACTGTTGCAAATGATTTAATGGTGGCAGGGGTCATTTCAACTGCAGGACGACATGCCTTTCCCACTGATTTCAAGCTGTGTGGTATGTTTGCTTTGTTTGTAGCACCCCCAAAATAAATCCTACTGAAAACAATGGCATGTTGTTCTATGTTGTTTCGGGGTACTAAAATCAAAGAGCTTCATGTTTGCTGAACTGCTGGTGAAAATGCGTCCAAACCATGTTTTTTTCTGGGAAATGACAGTCATCCTCTGTGAAACTCACCCTGGCCACGAAGACACTTGACAGACAGAATAGATGGCTGTACGCAGAGGAAGCCAAGAGTTGGATGACACACCTGATCTGGCCCAAGAGTTGGATTCACGGGTGGCAATGATTTACACAACTCTCGCGTTCCATGTTGCAGGCTTGAAGGTGCAAGGTGCAACCTCCACTTTCCGCAGAAGTTTGTTGGCTTTCTTATTTACAGCTGAGGGTCATTGTGCGTATCCTAGTTTTACCAATCCCAACCTGCTGCACTGGCTATGGTTTGGCCTCTTTTGATTTTTGGGATTTGTTGTAAGATATGACGCATCCTAGTCAAGTCATAAGGCTTACACACTTTATTGAATATGATTCACCTATCTTTGCTGGAGCCGAAAGACCTATCTTCTCACATCTTTTCCCATGGAGGGTTGGAATTATTGGATGTGTCTTGAATCAGACACACACACACGCACACACTTGTAAGACAGAATGTCTGTTCACGAGGCTCATATTGATTTGTGATTTTTTGCTCGTGAAAAGGCCGTTGTATTCAAACATGTTTTAAACAATGACAAATTGAGTACGGTCGCCGCTGTGAATGAATCACAGAATTCAGAAATCGAAATGGTCTCATGGCAGGTACGTCTGACTGATCAGGTCAGATATCACCAGCACTCATCCAGTGTCTTCGTTGGTGCAAGACTGAATGGGCTGCTTGCACCCCCTGCCTTAAAACTGAAAAACTGAAAAACTGAAATACTGAAAAATTCGCGAATCCCTTGGAAACAGGGGTTGGCCCCACACACAAAGGCCTATCGCCGCTGGTATTTGTCGGCCACAACGCACTGTGAATATCTGACAAAGCGAAGCCTTTCTGTAATTTTCTGTACATATAACCGAGATAGTGCGTGCAACGAACTCTGTGCTTGACAGGACGGAAATGAATATTTGCGAATTAAATGAGCTCGACTCTTCAGTCCGCTCAAACGCAATCGGAGGGTTCCGGCTGAAATGATTGTTTTTTCAGAAACATCAACATAAAAGCCGAGAAGTAAAATTGTCGGCAACCAGCTCCAGTTCGACTGGACTACCATAAAAGTCCAAGTCTGTAAACACTTTGAACACTGGAGCCTGAAGATGGTGCTTCTGTACAATGACAAAACGGTTGTCGACGTACCTGATTGCAAGATGATGAAAATTTGGTTGGGTCAGAACTTCTTGATACTGCTCCACGATCTCTCGATAAGCGTCACGGCCAAGTTCGAAAGTGTCGGAGAAATCTGACTTCCTATTGCAGCGCCTCTGATTTGGCGCCATACAACACCAAGTGCTGTGAAAAAGTGAGTCCGCTGTACACGTGGGTCGACCCCCTGCCTTAAAACTGAAAAACTGAAAAATGAAAAATTCGCAAATCCCTTGGAAACAGGGGTTGACCCCACACACGAAGGCCTATCGCCGCTGGTATTTGTCGGCCACAACGCACTGTGAATATCTGACAAAGCGAAGCCTTTCTGTACATATAACCGAGATAGTGCGTGCAACGAACTCTGTGCTTGACAGGACGGAAATGAATATTTACGAATTAAATGAGCTCGACTCTTCAGTCCGCTCAAACGCAATCGGAGGGTTCCGGCTGAAACATTGTCCCGATTTGGCGAATGTCTGGTAATTTGTAAATGACTGTTCTTTCAGAAACATCAACATAAAAGCCGAGAAGTAAATTGTCGGCAACCAGCTCCAGTTCGACTGGACTACCATAAAAGTCCAAGTCTGTAAACACTTTGAACACTGGAGCCTGAAGATGGTGCTTCTGTACAATGACAAAACGGTTGTCGACGTACCTGATTGCAAGATGATGAAAATTTGGTTGGGTCAGAACTTCTTGATAGGTACTGCTCCACGATCTCTCGATAAGCGTCACGGCCAAGTTCAAAAGTGTCGGAGAAATCTGACTTCCTATTCCAGCGCCTCTGATTTGGCGCCATACAACACCAAGTGCTGTGAAAAAGTGAGTCCGCTGTACACGTGGGTCGACCCCCTGCCTTAAAACTGAAAAACTGAAATGAAAAATTCGCAAATCCCTTGGAAACAGGGGTTGACCCCACACACAAAGGCCTATCGCCGCTGGTATTTGTCGGCCACAACGCACTGTGAATATCTGACAAAGCGAAGCCTTTCTGTACATATAACCGAGATAGTGCGTGCAACGAACTCTGTGCTTGACAGGACGGAAATGAATATTTACGAATTAAATGAGCTCGACTCTTCAGTCCGCTCAAACGCAATCGGAGGGTTCCGGCTGAAACATTGTCCCAAATTTGGCGAATGTCTGGTAACTTGTAAATGACTGTTCTTTCAGAAACATCAACATAAAAGCCGAGAAGTAAATTGTCGGCAACCAGCTCCAGTTCGACTGGACTACCATAAAAGTCCAAGTCTGTAAACACTTTGAACACTGGAGCCTGAAGATGGTGCTTCTGTACAATGACAAAACGGTTGTCGACGTACCTGATTGCAAGATGATGAAAATTTGGTTGGGTCAGAACTTCTTGATAGGTACTGCTCCACGATCTCTCGATAAGCGTCACGGCCAAGTTCGAAAGTGTCGGAGAAATCTGACTTCCTATTCCAGCGCCTCTGATTTGGCGCCATACAACACCAAGTGCTGTGAAAAAGTGAGTCCGCTGTACACGTGGGTCGAACTCCACTTTTGTGATTCCAAATGAGGAGAAGGAAAACAACACAACGCAAAAACGTGGAGCAGACTCAACGCCCACATCGCAACTGACTTCTGGATTGTGGGAACATGATGTATACAATACTTCAAAAACTGGCGGAGGTGGTTAAAGACTTCAAAAAGTTTCAAAGGTAACCACTCTCGCCATGATATGACTAGTCAAGCTGTCAACGCTGCAGCGATAGCTATCAACTGCTGAAGACCTCGAGGGGGGAACTTCAAACTTTGTTCCATTGGTAATCCATACTGAATAGCCGCCTCTTGCAGCTTTGCCTTAGGCACCGCTGCATCTTGAAACATTTTGGCGAATTTGGTGGCTTCTTGTTGCGTTTCTACGGGACATTGCTGAAGCCACTTCTTTATAGTGTCGGGTCAGAAGTACCTTTGAGCGGATACTGCTTCAAAATAGGACCGGACGCTTGCATTAATTCCTGGACAGTTATCGGAGATTTTTCGTCCGAAAACTCAGAGA